AGAACCATTTCAGAATTATTAAAAATAAAAACACGTAGGGGGTGAAAATAGCATAGGATTCACGTTCAAAACTGATTGGGCCTGGCAGTAGGGTGGTGGGATTAGCAATACACATTCAGGCCCGCCCGTTTCAATTAATGAAACGGTGCGTTTAGGGCACCACAGCTTCCCTCCAAATCTCAGAATCAAACCTCAGCCACACGATGGGCTTCTGAGTCAAAGGTCCAACACGACACGGACGGCCATGATTTCGTCTTCCTCCTTGAATCTATGAGAGCTAGGGTTTCCACCATGAAACCTCATGCACGCACCAACTTTAACCTCTCAGTTCTCCCTCTCCAGGCCATAAAACGCCACGATATAAACATGAAACTCAATCAGAATTTCTCCCTCTACAAGCCTATGGTCTTTGTTTGCATTAAAACTCAGCCAATCAATAAACCCGAGCGCAACAATTTCTGGCTCCATGAAAATACACTGAGATGCATCACAATAATTCTCAATCAAACTTACACTAATCTAATCTATGACTAATGGTGATCATTCTGCGCTAACAAGCTAAGGTTATCATGCAAAATCCTACGAGTTCTTGATCCAAACAGTTTGGTGCACCTGCTATGAATTGTCTCTATTCAGCCTCAAATTCATCTAAACTAACCTCCTAACATCATAGACCATGAATATACTAGTAAAACTACCTAAATCTCCCTAGATTGAATAAGTTAGAAAGATTTGCACCTTGAGCAAGCTTTAATGGAGGCTGAGTAATCACGTGGATCCAGGCTCTTGTATGCTTCAATCTTGGTCCATTCTTGATATACTTGATTCTGTTTGCAATATTTGGATGAAACTTGGCTTGGATCTTGCTGTCCAATGGAAATTGCAATTTTGATGTTGATGATTATAGTGCTCGAAAATGGATTGATCACACCTTGTTCTTGGTTGAATTCTGATCCAGGATGATGATTGAATGTAGGAGGATCAATGTTGATGAGAATTGATGAAGATTTTGGGAAATTTTGAGAGAATTGCAATGAGAAAGAATGAGAAAACTTTGGGAAATTTTGGTGAAAAATGAATCCAACCCTTGATCAATCTTCATTTCATGTTTATATAGGGCTCAAATGAACTTTCTAGATCCATCTTACAATTTCCCTTGCCTTCCAACTTTGATCCATTTTTGAAATGTTTCTTCAAATGCAAGTAACCATGTATAACTTTGATTTTTTCCACTAAGCTCAAAAAAGTGTTTGAACCATTGTCTCTAAAATGTATTTTCCATTCAAAATCATATATTGGAAGTCTCCATTTGGACTTATAAATCTCTCAAACCATTTTTCACTTTGACTTTATTCAAGTTATAAGCCATTTTAGTTCAAATTTAACCAATCATGCAACTTCATGTTATGAGCTTTTCCAACAATTTGTGACCTTCTTTCTAGACTCAAAATGTCATTTGGAGCAAGTTTGATGTTGTAAGTTTTTCCATTTGAGGCCTCCTTGTATGAGTTTTGGACATAGGTTAAAATGACCTGTAATTCACAAATGCCCAAAATACCCTTTGCTTGCCAAGACCATAAGTTGAGTTCCACACATCATATGAAGGCATACTATACCATTCTAGAAAGCTAAGACAATGAGGAGCAACTCTTATGTTGACCAAGAATTCATTTGAAATCTCCTTGAGGGGTAAAAATTGCTTGGAAGTCAAGTCACTTTCACAGACAAAATTTCAGATACCTCAGATGACCTGTAACTTGCAAGGACCATAACTTGAGTTCTATAAATCTCCTTGATGTCTTCCACAACTCAAATTAAAGGTCTTGAGATCCTCTACAAGTTTCATGTTGACCAAGAAGCCATTTGAAGCTATCATTTTGACTTATCTTGCTTGGAAATTTGACCTAAACTAGGGGATTTTACACAGAAACCCTAATCTAGAAACTCCTCTTCTCCTTGATTTCTCTTGAATTCTTCTTGGCATATCTCCATGTCCTTCTTTATATGTCCCATGATGAACCCCACATCTCTCCAATAGACTTGAATGCCCTTTAAATCAGTCAATTGACCTAGGGTTGACCTAGGGTTGACCCAGATGAAACCCTAGTTGACTGTCTTCAGCTATAGCTCTTGTGCTCTCATCAATGACTTGTCTCCTTCTCCAAATGACTTTCTAAGTCTCTCATAATGTCTAGATACTCTCCATGCCTCCAACTCACAGCTCACAACCCTCTTGTTGACCCTCAGACACCCTCAGCTAGGAGATGGACTCAAGGCTTGATCTGCTGAACTCTTTGCTTTCAAATTCTTTCCTGATGACTTGAATGAGATTGAATTGGGATAATAGCCTCTTGATAGGCTTCTAGAGATGAGAATAATGATTGGTCCCCTGTTGAATGACTTGCTATGCTTATGCTATGCAGATGGTTAGTCTATGTACATGACTCTATATGCAAATGCTAATGACATTGAAACATAAACCAAGTGAATAAGGTTGGGCAAATTTTAGGGTGCAACACTGTGCAACTGTATTGATGTGACTTGTTTGATTTTCTTGATGCATTAGAATAAGTTCACCTTTATATTGATTTAAGATAGGAGCATGATTGCACTAGAGGGTGGGTTGCTCCCTCTGCTTGTATTTTTACTGTATGGCTTTGCTTGCTGGTATTTGGTAGAGCCCTGCTCCCTTGCCTATGTGGGTTGTGATTTGCTTGATAGCAGTTTATTTCATTTCTTCTGTATGATTACAGTTATTCATATTTGGATTGAGGTTGAGATGAGCTTGTGGAGGCTGATGTCCCACACACATTTCCTCCCTCACTTGCATTGCATGCATTTTGCTGTATATCTGTTTACTGTTTAAGCTGATGCTTTATCTGTTTCTGTATCCCCTGGCATGTTCCCTAGGAATCTCACTTTCTTTGATAAGGAAGTGATGATAGAACTTTAGGTTGAAACCTATGCCTGATAACTTCTAGGAGTTCCCTGTTTCAAACCTCAACCATAGGATGAATCCTTGGCATGACAACATTAGGACTTGATAGTCTCCCCTTAGTTGAACCTGTTCATTCTCTCTTCTCATCTCAAAACAAATTAAAATACAATAATAAGGGTTAACTGATGTCGTACGTTACGAGCCTTAAGCTATCTGAGAAAGGGTTGTCGGAGAGTTTCTTTTCGACAACTTGGATGTTTAGTATGGCACCCTTTGGGTGACATGCGACACATTAACTCTCAGGTCATAGTCTCTAGTGCGATATTGGTTGCAAACATCCATAAAAAACAGTTCTTTCGTAAAAGATAGAAAACAAACTTCAAACCTTTTTGCCCCGTGGGTCCATAATTCAAAGGAAGCTTTTCTGAAGAAAATAGTGTCGTTAACTCCCAGTTCTACCGCAAACGGTAACACTTAAGTCTCCAAGGGTCGAGCTGCGTACGCCAAACTGCTGGAACTGTTTGTTAACCCTACTCGATAAAACAAATGAATCTGAATCCCCGTAATCCGTATTATCCCGAACTACGTAAGCTCTGATCTCTCAAGCCTGTTGAGAGTACGTAGGCACAATACTGATGTATTGGCGAACCACCTTCCCCTTAAACCGTAGTTAGTCGAACTACGTTGACTCTGATTTCTCATTCTCTGATGAGAATACGTAGGCATAAAGTGCGACGCTTTGCCGAGTCATTTTTATTTTCTTTAAGCCAGCCTTGATAGGTAGATAGTAAATAGACTCGTCAGATAAACATAACAAGCGTGGATCCCATCGAGTACGATGGACGTGAGGGATGCTAATACCTTCCCCTTGCGTAACCGACTCCCGAACCCAGACAATGGTTGCGATGACCTTGTCTTATACCTTTTCGTCAGGTTTTTCCGATCGTTTCCTTTCCCGTTCTGAGGGATAAATAACGAAAGGTGGCGACTCTTCTGTTTTGCCGGCACCTTATTTTCGCGGTAGCGACACCCAGCGCTGGGGGCACATTATAAATATCTTCTTTCACTAGAGGGTCAAGTATTCTATTTCTTACACACCTTTTTTGTACTTGCTCTCGTTGCTCCGTTTCTTACTTTGGCATCAGAGTACCTTGCAGGTACACCCCCTCCTCTTCTCCACTACCGATAAATACAGAAGCGCACGACGTGTTGCTGTTTGCTAATCTTTTTCTGATTCGGTAAGATTATGTATTAAACGAAGAATTTGAAAGTGAAAACTTGCCAGTATTTTAACTTTTTAAAACTAAATGCATGGTTTGTAAGGAAAATATCCCTCATTTTGTTTCTCAACCTATGTTGAAGCAGAAATTATCATTTGTATATTTTTTATTTAATTTGAAATTGAATATTAGTTCACATCAGCTCAACGTTTACACTGGGTTATATTTGATTCGTTAAATTAAAAATAAACGGGTCTTAGGTAAAGTATGTGGTTTGACTTTAATTTTAAAATATGGTTGACTTTAAATTAGGTTTGGTTTTAAAAACAAAACAAAAAAACTCAACTATGAACATATCTTTAGATGATTTGTTTTAATGAAAAAATGTGTTTTATTTACTAACATATCCTTATTGAAATAGTTAGTAGAGAAGTTAGGTGAGTTGAAATACAATAAATAAAGATATTTGGAAGAGAAGTTAATAGAAATAGGAATAAATAGTATTTCAAAAACATAAATAATTTAAAATATAAAAATATTGCAAAATGGACTTATAATTAGACAGATGAAGTATTTTCTTTTTTATTTGTTGTTGGTAAATTACAAGCAGTCAATTATTGTGACGTTTGGACATAAGACCTTAATTTGCTTTTTTTTTTTAAGAAAACTAGAGAAGTGAATTTATATACATGACAGACCAGGTATTAGAAGTTGTTGGTTAGGTGAAGTAATTTGTAAAGAACTTTGTCTCATTTTTTTGTAAATATTATTATACAAAACCATAGAATCCTATTACATTTAATAGTAGAGCCCAAAAGTGTGATTTAGAAAATGTTATCATATCATGGCCTCCTCATACAACAATTCATGTAACTCAAAATATTCCTTCTCTCCTGCAAAATCATACACAAATGAGTTAGAAAATGTCTGCAACCATTTTTTTTAACGTGAAAATCAAAAACTATATTACTCTTTGGTTACTATTATATATATATATATATATATATATATATATATATATATATATATATATATATATATATATATATATATATATATATATATATATATATATATATATATATATATATATATATATATATATATATATATATATATATATATATATATATATATATATATATATATATATATATATATATATATATATATATATATATATATATATATATATATATATATATATATATATATATATATATATATATATATATATATATATATATATATATATATATATATATATATATATATATAATATTTTTTAATTTATTAAATAATTAATATATTTAGTTTATATATAAATTAAATATACAAGTTATTCAATAATTTATATTAAACAGAGGAGAATGTATTTTGTTATCACAAAGACTTAGATCCCCCGCCATTGTATCTCAAAGATTATAAACCAAGTACAGCACAAGGAACTAGTAACTCAAGGGTGCATTGTCTACCTAGAAATTATGTCAGAAGGACATAGATAAGGCATTTTTAAAGAACTAATTTAAATTTGCGCATTTAACTTAGATCTTAACAGAGATACATCTTTTCACTAAACATAACAAATATGGTTGGCCGTCAAGGACAAATACCACACAGGATAGACACCAAACTGAAATGCAAGTTCTCCTTTAAGGATCCATCTATGATTATGCTTGTTACCTATTGAGAAACTCTTACACATGTTAAGGGACTCAATGGACGGTGACATATTCAATCCCATCCCTCTATTACTAAATGGAATATGAAATGGACCATAAAATACGCTTGTTTCATATCTCTTTGATGTTCACCTCTTTTATGGGATTCCCATCATCGATACGAACGGATGAAGTCTCTAAAAATAGACACGCTCTTAAAATCCATCTATCTTATTCCTTCAGCCACTAATTCTATTTTTATTACTAGTAATCATAAAATTATAAAAGCAAGTGTTTATGTTATTTTATATAGTTTTTTTACCAACATTACACCTAATATTGTTCCATGTGCGTTAATCAAGGGGACATGGAACAAACTTAGGTGTAAGAGTTGCTCAAAGAATTACATTATATTATTGTTGAAAACCAAATCCTAATAAGAAAAGTCTATAAGTATGCAATAACAAATTAATATGCAAGTGAAATACTAATTATATATAGAAAACGAATGTCTCACCATGACAGGAGGATCTGGATGAACATGATGATGATGATGAGTTTGTTGAGGACCAAAATCATGATTATGACCACGGCCATGACCAGGACGATGACGATAATTCGTAGCATTGTTGCCCGCATTCCTATCATTCCCAAGGCTGAGACGCCTGATTTCAGTTAAATCTGTTTTATGATTCTTCTTGTTTTCGCGAGCTTGGTTGAACACCATGGAGTAATCTGTAGGCACGCCTTTAGGCTTATTTTCCCATCCTCCAAATTGTGGCACAGACATCTTAACTGGCTTCTTCTGCACATGCATAACATATTTTAACTTAGTAACTTTATCATTTTTCACGGTGAAATTCATATAGTATATAATACTTTATCTTAGGTATAAAAACCCTCTCACTTGCATTGGTTAGTGTCCCCTTTGATCAACGCACATTAACCATTACAAGTAAAAGGCTTCAAATTCCAATACATAATTACTAAAAAAAATAAGAATGTTTATTAGTATCGTCTTGGGATTTTATTGGTTGACATCCCCATGATTAACGCATGTCAACCAATCCATGTCCAAGATTATGATAAAAAATTTCGCATTTTAATAATTCTATACATTGGATGATTAAACCAATTATATATTATCTCTCTAAAAATGACAACATGTGATAACATGGCAATGAGGAACCTTCTGCATCAAGAAATGTTTTGTTAGATATATTTAATGAAAGAAAAATGAAAACTTTATGGATATTATCATCCAGCAGCTATGAGATTTACACGATAAAAGATTTAGACTTACCTCCCATCGTTCCATGGTTGATTCAAAAGCTGAGACTAACCCTTGGAATATTATATATATTCAGGCCTTAAAGAATGATTGAAAAGGGTTGGAATTTTGTTGCAATGAGGAAATAAACTTGAATTATATATGAAACTAGGATACTATTTAATAAATTTGTATTTTCCTGTCATATTGTTAATTGCCAGCTTCAACAAGAGTGCAAATAAGGGTCTCCTTTGGTTATGATCTGTTCATTGCTAATTGGAACATTGCCCAAATATAGACATACACAGATAGAATAAAAAGACATCTACAGATAGAAATTTTTTTCTACATAACAAATTTTATATTCAAATCCTGCACATATATACATCATATATGTATTTAATCTTTTAAATAACACGTAATTTACATCCAAATTTTATCTGTTTAAATCACCTTCTCCATTAAAATTCCTAATCCCATATTTTGTAATTAAAAAAAAAAAAACACCAACTACCTAACATATTTATGGTATGAACAATGAAAGACTATCTTTAGTGTTAAGGAAGATCTTAAAGTTCCACATTTGTTGGAGATAGAGTATTGAAATAGTTTATATAGAGTGACACCCCTTATCTTATAAATAGGTTTTGTAAGATTGTGTTGGAACAAACTCTAATATCTAATATATGCCAAAGTTTATTGGACTACTATAGTAAGCATTATTCTATGTTAGGAAATTTCTTATTGCACCTTACATGTTTCTACCACACCGTGCAAAATTCTACTAATGTTCTTTGTTTTTGGAGACATACTATGCAGACTCAACATAGACTATTCTAAAAGGCACCCTATATATTGAGTTTAATATGTTCCGGAGATGCATCTTCGTAACTATACCGTAGTTACATTTTTGGAAGAATACCAGAAAAAGATTCAACAGAAAATGAATTTTTTTTAAATGCAATTGACATTCATAATATAAAATGATCATTACAATGATGATTTCAACCGAAAACTAAATATTACATTTCAATATCTTTGTGGACGTTTGCACATCTTTAGGATATCTTCGATCGATCTTTGTATTGTCGCTTCCAACCTGAGCTGAACTTTCTTTTCGAAACCGAAATACGTATCTCACATATCCCTAACATCTGATCGAGTCTTGAGCTCAAATTTGCTGAACACGATGTTCCATTCGTTATCAACCGAATTGAACGGTACTCGAACTTCACAATCCTTTATTTGTCTCCGTAAAATAGAAGATAGTGGATTTTGTCTATGATATCTTCGATGGGGGTGAGATCGGTGAGCTTAAACATTCTCTCGGGTGTAGAGCCACCGGAGTAGGAGACATTTGTGACATACCATCGAATGTTTATTTGTGACATTTGAGACATATTGAGTTTGTCTGAAATATAACACAAGAACAACTAAATTTATAGAAGACCTAGTTCAATATGAACCACTCATTAAGTGTCATATTGATTCCGAAAATATATCTCTACAATATCCACTAAATTGAACAATTAAAATGTTTTTCTAAAATTGTTCCAAAGATATATTTCATGAATAAATTAACTCAACGTATCTCAGAATGACTTTGGTTGCGTATGTATAAAATGCGTGCGAAAATATATTTTCAAAATTAAAAAATATACGTGGAAATTCATTCGGTATTCTAGGGATATAATTGGATACCATAAAAAATCTTTCTATGTTATACCTGACAGGACATTTTTTTTAAACAAAAACTCTTGATTTTTAACTATTTTTCTTTTTACAACAATTTTAAATTTTTTAAAACTTAACTTTTTTTTTTTAAATTCCAAAAGTTTAACGTAGACAAAAAAAATTCTAGCCAAATTTTGTTTTGTTTAAAGTGGTTTCATTTAAAATGTCACATGACCATAGTGTTGCACCCTAAAATTTGCCCAACCTTTTTCTTTACCTAGCTTATGTTTCATTGCATTCATAGCATTAGCATTATCATTAGCATCTGCACATCATAACCCATTTGCAGGGGATTGAGAGGGATGTGCTTATCAAGGAAGGGCTACCACCATGTCCTAAGGCTATTCAAGAGTCTTCACTCAAGTATTCAAGGGTTGATATCCTCATCAAAGAAGTCAAAGATCCCCAGAGAAGTGGCTAGACAGTTATGTGCACATTCCCTAACTTGAAGGTCATGGGAGATCATCAGATGATTTTGAATCCATAGATGTGGACTTAAAGCATTTAGAGAGAACTTGAGATGTCTTGAAAGATATTATGGAACTTGGGTAAGTCATTATGCAAGGGATAAGAAGCTACAATCAAGATTGGTGTAATTAGGGTTTCATCTGGTCAACCCTAAGTCAACAGGTGAATTGAAAGGGGTTGAGACCTAATTTCAAGGCCATGTGATCATGGAGTGATGTGTTGAGACATCCAAGGGATAATTCTAAGACAAACTCATCAAGGATCAAGAGTGTGAGAAGTTCCTAGGCTAGGGTTTCTAAGCTTGACAGTTTAAAATCCCCTAGTTTAGTGTCTAACTTCATGACCACATAACTCAAGATGAAAGTTTCATCTCATCTTGACCTCAACATGGAACTTGTAGAGCATGTTCATACCTTTAATTTGAGTACTAGAAGTCCTTGATAGGATTTATGGAACTCATGTTATAAAGCAGACAAGTTACAGATCATCAGATGAATGTGATTTTGGTACTTGAGAGTCAACCAACTTCCATGCCATTTGTGACCTATAAGGAGGTCTCACCTGTACTTGACCCAAACATGAATGTTGTTCCTTATCTTCTTAGCTTTCCAAATAGTACTAGAAGTCCTTGATTGGATTTGTAGAACTCAAGATATGGAGCTTGCAAGGCAAGGGCATTTTGGGAAAGTAAGATTATAAGTCACTTTTGGTTATAGGTCCATTTCACCACTTTGCATACCTCAAATGAAAATTTGTCCTACTTGAAAGTTGCTCAAAATGGGGTTATTTATTCAATCAAACACCAAGGATTCATCGATATGGATTGGATTGAGGATTGGTTGAAGAAAATTTCATAAAAAGGAACTTTAAAGGCATTTAAAGTCAAAAATTCAATTTAATTCAAAATAAATCAATTCATGTCATGTTGGTACATTTTTTGAGTCACCAATGCATTCTAAGAATAATGCAATTACCACATTTTAGAATTGAAGTCATTTACATGTTCTTTCCTCATGTTTCTTAAGCTTGAAGTAACATAACTCAAATCAACCATTGATGTATTTCCAAGGCTTCAATCTCAGCCATCCACACTCCTTACATCACCAACAAGCAAAATGGATCAATTTGGAAGTGAATTAGCTATGTTTTCGTGCAGTTCACAAAGTAAAAAAGTGAAGACAACTGAATTTACAATTGGGCTGTTTGGACCTCCATTGGGCCTGAAGTGTATCCAAACATGTTCTATATAAACACTAGATCGTTTCCAGATGAAGGTTGGTGAATTTTGGTGCAAGAAAAGGTAAGAAGCAGTTAGAAAAAGTGAGCTTGAGGGTGAAGATCGAGTTCCAAGATTCAGGCCTCTTCAAGCAAATTCGAGCATCAAGAAAGCTTCATCATCAATCATAGAGTGTTTCTGGATTGATTTGAGCAAGTTTCATCGCAAAATCGTGCCTCTGTTGAAGCTTTTTCGCAAGTTCTTAACTTTCAAAATTACTCTTAGTTCATGATGAATTAGAGCTTGTTTTGCATGTGGTTAGGTTTTTGGTAATACCTAGATGATTTTAGGATAAGTTAGAGGTTCGATTGTGAGAATTTTGGATGGTGCGTGTTTTCTTGTTGCTTTTGTTTTGGCATGTTCTTTGAGTAGAAATAAAAGCATGTTCTCTGTGCATTCCTCAAGAGGTTGAGCCTTGGATGGACATTCAATGGCATAGTGTATTTCTTTGGTTTACACTATCTTCATTCTCATCTGTCCTACATGATTAGGATCCTTCTTGTGGGAGCCTAATTCTTCCTTTGGTTGAATTATGTGCATTCCATGAGAAGTTTGAGCCTTTGATGGACATCCTGTGTTGATACACATTGCCCAGATACCTTAGATTGACATCTAGGTTCCACTATTCTCCTTTGTCCTACATTCTTAGGATCCCTCTTGTGAAAGCCTAATTCTTCCTTTTGGTTGAATTCTGTGCATTCCATAAAGAGGGTGAACCTGGGATGGACTCTTGTGTTGATACACATCTAAACCTGATGTAGCCTTAAGATGATTTCCTTATTGCTCATCTAGTTTATCTCTCTCCTGATGGTTTGATTTCATTGCCTGCTTGTCGTGTTGCATTAGGATAGACTTGTATGAGTAAAATACTTTTGTTTAGGTGCATGTTTGCATTAAAGGTTGAGCTTGTCTCCCTTTGCTTGATTGTTTCTCTGCTTTCATACCTGTCATGTTTGCATTAAAGGTTGAGGGGTGCCTCCCTTTGCTTGTGTGTTTTTCTGTACATTTCTGTTTGCATCCCATGTTTTCATCTAAGGTTGAGCTTGTCTCCCTTGCTTGTACTGTTGCATTGCATCTGCATCCAATTACTTTATGTTTCACTTGTTTGATAACTGTGTTTCTTTTTCCCCTTTGCATGTTCCCTTAGGACTCTCACTTCCTTTGATAAGGATAGTGATGATAGACATTAAGATGAATCCATGTATGATAACAATAGGGTAGATTCCCCTTTCAAACTCAACATTAGGACCATATTGCATGACAACAGTAGGATGCTTGATAGTTTCCCCTGTAGAGTCCTCTTTCTCTTCTCACCTTCAAACAACAGTAAAACAATTAATAAAGGCAAGTTTGTATTGTACGCTACGAGCCTTAAGCCACTTGGGAAATGATAATTGAGCGGTCTCCTCTCAATCGTCTAGAGTGTTTAGTATACGTCCTTTGGGCGATATGCGACGCGTTCGCTCCTAAGTCATAGTCTCTAGTGCAATATGAATTACAAACACTCATAAAAACACTTCTTCTCCGATAAAAGACAAAAACAAACATAAAACTTCTTTTGGCTTTTGGG